ATCTAATTGGGAGATACGGTCATTTTTAAATCAATTTTTTAAACACGTGTAACATTTTTCCTTTCAAAAGGACAGACATTCACTTTCAAGAAGAAGTGTTACTTGTGTGTGGTTCATTATATTACCACGTGGTGATAACTAGTCATGTGCGTTAATATGGGCTAGGAGGAATTTTTGTCCGTTGGATTTGTCTAGTAGAGTTCACATTGGATGGATGAGGTAAATGCATAAGCAAATGAATTTTGAGAGAAATATAGTAAATTAAATTTATATACTTTTCGTTTCTCATCTTTTTTTCTTTCATATCAAACAATTGAAAAACTTGTCTTTTACACTTTCTATCTATCCTACCAAACAAAACAATCCTTCTTCTTTCAATTTTTGGGTGTGTGGGCATGCATGGATGGCTCCATGTGTATCAATAGTTTGAAAACACATATATATCAAATTCTCATTTTGTATAGTTAGTCATATGTAGATTTTATGTAGTGTTACGATAGTTTCGTTCTGACTTAAAAAACTCTTGTCATAAAAATTGTCCCTTGTCACAAGATTAGATTTTATCCATCTATTTGCCTTTTTTAAAATTATATCAATAAGAATTTCGTACACTAAACTTTTTGTTTTAAAAGTGTGACATCTTCTTTGGAAAAATGCCTGCATGTTCTCTTTTTTGAATATTGCAAGTCCTACATCCTAAGGTGCTTCAATTCTATGGATATCCAAGGCATCCACTGTCCTAATGGGCCTCACAATTCCGACCACTTGCCTTTAAAAATTGTCAGATAATTATGACTTTTTGACTTTTGGTGGTTCACCCCTTAGTGGGTTGTTCGTCTTGTTGGCATGAAGAAAAAGACGGTTTGGAGGAAGGAAATGTTATCTCACACCTCCCTTAAGTTTGATGTGAAATGTTGTGTCACACATTTCACCCCTTAGTGGGCAAGTTTGAATGGAGGAATGCAGGGTTGGACGAAGTAAAAAATAAGAGAAATATATTTTTTATTTTTTAAAAAATATATATATATTTTTTTTCTTTATTGTTGGGTATGAAGGATGGAAAACTAGAGAGAATAAATTTTTTTATTATTTTTATTGTGTGAATAAAAAATGAAAGAAAATTATTACACATAAAAATACTATAAACACGGAGAATCACATGCATTAATATATGCCATTATATTATTTTAATATGCAANTACCAAACAAAACAATCCTTCTTCTTTCAATTTTTGGGTGTGTGGGCATGCATGGATGGCTCCATGTGTATCAATAGTTTGAAAACACATATATATCAAATTCTCATTTTGTATAGTTAGTCATATGTAGATTTTATGTAGTGTTACGATAGTTTCGTTCTGACTTAAAAAATTCTTGTCATAAAAATTGTCCCTTGTCACAAGATTAGATTTTATCCATCTATTTGCNATCCTACCAAACAAAACAATCCTTCTTCTTTCAATTTTTGGGTGTGTGGGCATGCATGGATGGCTCCATGTGTGTCAATAGTTTGAAAACACATATATATCAAATTCTCATTTTGTATAGTTAGTCATATGTAGATTTTATGTAGTGTTACGATAGTTTCATTCTGACTTAAAAAACTCTTGTCATAAAAATTGTCCCTTGTCACAAGATTAGATTTTATCCATCTATTTGCCTTTTTTAAAATTATATCAATAAGAATTTCGTACACTAAACTTTTTGTTTTAAAAGTGTGACATCTTCTTTGGAAAAATGCCTGCATGTTCTCTTTTTTGAATATTGCAAGTCCTACATCCTAAGGTGCTTCAATTCTATGGATATCCAAGGCATCCACTGTCCTAATGGGCCTCACAATTCCGACCACTTGCCTTTAAAAATTGTCAGATAATTATGACTTTTTGACTTTTGGTGGTTCACCCCTTAGTGGGTTGTTCGTCTTGTTGGCATGAAGAAAAAGACGGTTTGGAGGAAGGAAATGTTATCTCACACCTCCCTTAAGTTTGATGTGAAATGTTGTGTCACACATCGGCAAGTTTGAATGGAGGAATGAAGGGTTGGACGAAGTAAAAAATAGGAGGAATATATTTTTTATTTTTTAAAAAATATATATTGTTTCTTTATTGTTGGGTATGAAGGATGGAAAACTAGAAAGAATAAATTTTTTTATTATTTTTATTGTGTGAATAAAAAATGAAAGAAAATTATTACACATAAAAATACCATAAACACGGAGAATCACATGCATTAATATATGCCATTATATTATTTTAATATGCAAATGTCATTCAGAAACTAACATGTATGACATGATATATACATATAGACACACACATAAACACGGTTAAAATAAATCAATGGGCGGCAAAAACAACTGCCAAACTAGGTGTTATGCTTGCCGGTGGCCTTTATACCAAATTTCTATGGCGGATGACACGACACAGTTTTTTTATTATTAAATAATTAGGTTTGGTTAATATTCAATGATAAAAATTATGTTACATGATTTTAAATAAAAAATTTGATAAAAAAATTTAATAAGTATAACATTTTCTTGACACTCCCAAATTAGAGTTGTTGAGTTCAAAATCTCGTCAAAACCGATATGTTCTCTCGTATTTTTGTTTGGCCTCGCTCTCTCTCTTCGATTTTTTTAGAGAGGTTCTTTCTTTGTTCTCTTTGGATTATCTGTGTAGATTGATTATTATCAAAATGTTTCTTTGTTCATATTAGTCCACTAACAAAGTATCTTCAATTCAACAAATAATACCAAGTGGCTAAAAGGTGGTGGTGATAATATTCCATTCTAAGGCGGTGTAAGCTTCCACGCAAAACCTTAATCGTAAACAACAGAATTTAAAAAACAAAAAACATTAAAACAAATTTAAAAAAAATATGTCAAACTAATTAAGCCTTGGCCAANCGGCAAGTTTGAATGGAGGAATGAAGGGTTGGACGAAGTAAAAAATAGGAGGAATATATTTTTTATTTTTTAAAAAATATATATTGTTTCTTTATTGTTGGGTATGAAGGATGGAAAACTAGAAAGAATAAATTTTTTTATTATTTTTATTGTGTGAATAAAAAATGAAAGAAAATTATTACACATAAAAATACCATAAACACGGAGAATCACATGCATTAATATATGCCATTATATTATTTTAATATGCAAATGTCATTCAGAAACTAACATGTATGACATGATATATACATATAGACACACACATAAACACGGTTAAAATAAATCAATGGGCGGCAAAAACAACTGCCAAACTAGGTGTTATGCTTGCCGGTGGCCTTTATACCAAATTTCTATGGCGGATGACACGACACAGTTTTTTTATTATTAAATAATTAGGTTTGGTTAATATTCAATGATAAAAATTATGTTACATGATTTTAAATAAAAAATTTGATAAAAAAATTTAATAAGTATAACATTTTCTTGACACTCCCAAATTAGAGTTGTTGAGTTCAAAATCTCGTCAAAACCGATATGTTCTCTCGTATTTTTGTTTGGCCTCGCTCTCTCTCTTCGATTTTTTTAGAGAGGTTCTTTCTTTGTTCTCTTTGGATTATCTGTGTAGATTGATTATTATCTTAATGTTTCTTTGTTCATATTAGTCCACTAACAAAGTATCTTCAATTCAACAAATAATACCAAGTGGCTAAAAGGTGGTGGTGATAATATTCCATTCTAAGGCGGTGTAAGCTTCCACACAAAACCTTAATCGTAAACAACAGAATTTAAAAAACAAAAAACATTAAAACAAATTTAAAAAAAATATGTCAAACTAATTAAGCCTTGGCCAAAAATCAGTGGCACATGAGCTAACCCGATAGTCCGGTATACACCAGACCATGGGACATGTTAACCTTACTATTGAACTTTAAATTCGTGAGTTCGAAAGTCGCCATCTACCTCACTTGCAATAGTGCATCACAAATAAAACCAAAAAAAAGTCGTAATAGCATGGCTTTTAATTATGGCTCACATGATTAATGAAATTATCAGCCAACCAAGTTGGGTCCATGGGGGACCTAGGCTACCAACCCAAACAATTGAAATTACACCCCAACCCCCACATTCATTATGTTTTCCCTATAAAAGCCTCAACTCATACTGTAAGGCCACAGCAAATTCTCTGTAACTCCTAAACACAATCTGATCATTACCATCAAACCAGCAGAGCTAAAGAACATGGCTGNCGACACAGTTTTTTTATTATTAAATAATTAGGTTCGGTTAATATTCAATGATAAAAATTATGTTACATGATTTTAAATAAAAAATTTGATAAAAAAATTTAATAAGTGTAACATTTTCTTGACACTCCCAAATTAGAGTTGTTGAGTTCAAAGTCTCGTCAAAACCGATATGTTCTCTCGTATTTTTGTTTGGCCTCGCTCTCTCCCTTCGATTTTTTTAGAGAGGTTCTTTCTTTGTTCTCTTTGGATTATCTGTGTAGATTGATTATTATCTTAATGTTTCTTTGTTCATATTAGTCCACTAACAAAGTATCTTCAATTCAACAAATAATACCAAGTGGCTAAAAGGTGGTGGTGATAATATTCCATTCTAAGGCGGTGTAAGCTTCCACGCAAAACCTTAATCGTAAACAACAGAATTTAAAAAACAAAAAACATTAAAACAAATTTAAAAAAAATATGTCAAACTAATTAAGCCTTGGCCAAAAATCAGTGGCACATGAGCTAACCCGATAGTCCGGTATACACCAGACCATGGGACATGTTAACCTTACTATTGAACTTTAAATTCGTGAGTTCGAAAGTCGCCATCTACCTCACTTGCAATAGTGCATCACAAATAAAACCAGAAAAAAGTCGTAATAGCATGGCTCTTAATTATGGCTCACATGATTAAAGAAATTATCAGCCAACCAAGTTGGGTCCATGGGGGACCTAGGCTACCAACCCAAACAATTGAAATTACACCCCAACCCCCACATTCATTATGTTTTCCCTATAAAAGCCTCAACTCATACTGTAAGGCCACAGCAAATTCTCTGTAACTCCTAAACACAATCTGATCATTACCATCAAACCAGCAGAGCTAAAGAACATGGCTGCAGAGGTAGAATCACTGGCTAGTTCGGTCCAAGAACTGTCCATGAACCGCAATGGACCTCCATCAAGATACCTCTTGAAGGATGGTATTGGATTGAATGGTGACTCTTCCTTTCCAGTGCTGGATATTCCAGTTATTGATCTTGGTCTGCTTGCTTCGTCTTCACCAGAGAGTGAAGAGCAACTTGACCGGCTCCGGTCTGCTCTCAGCTATTGTGGTTACTTTCAGGTTTGATCTCAAAGCTCTTCTCTGATCTCATCATGTTGCAATGATTCAGTTATGTTCGTAATAGCTTATGCTTGGTCTCCCTGCCTTAGCTCGCAAATAAAGGTCTTACTTTCTAAGTTAAAAAATGAAGGAACAAGTCAATAAAATAAAGAAGTAGAAGAAGAATGAAGAAGAACCCGGAACCTGCACTGGTTGATTTAGTAGTCAAACGGCGAGTTTTAAATCTGTGCGTCATAAGTTTGCGCCTCTCTACTCCAGTTAAACCTGTTTTAGATGCATGCGAACTGCGGGTATCGTGTCGGTTCAAGATTTGTNATCTGATCTCATCATGTTGCAATGATTCAGTTATGTTCGTAATATCTTATGCTTGGTCTCACCGCCTTAGCTCGAAAATAAAGGTCTTACTTTCTAAGTTAAAAAATGAAGGAACAAGTCAATAATATAAAGAAGTAGAAGAAGAATGAAGAAGAACCCGGAACCTGCACTGGTTGATTTAGTAGTCAAATGGCGAGTTTTAAATCTGTGCGTCATAAGTTTGCGCCTCTCTACTCCTGTTAAACCTGTTTTAGATGCATGCGAACTGCGGGTATCGTGTCGGTTCAAGATTTGTGTTGTAATCATAAATCTAAAGGGCAAGTGATTATCCCGAGAAGAAATCTTTGCTAGACAGTTAATTTTTAGTTAGCCTGGATGATAGAGGATGAGCAAAGCACAGTTCTAATGCTAGTTGAATATTATATGTAAATAATGCTAGTTGAATTAACTTAAAGAACTCAGCTCTCAACTTACAGATCATCATATTCTTGGACTTGGAGTATTAACAACTCAACCTTTTGTTTGTGTGTGTGAGAGAGAGAGAGAGAGAGAGATAAATTTTGTTTCTTCTTTCTTGGGANGTCAAGTTCCAATAGAAGTTGATTTCAACCCCAATTGCATAACCAAGTTCAAATGTTCTCTAATATGATAGTAGGATGAAGGGCTCAGGTTCATTTCGTGTTCAGGTTGAACTCGGTTTGAGGGTCTAGATTAATCCCTTAACCCACCAACTCGCTCGAGTTCACCCCTAATCCGACTTCACCTAGAATTATTTTCTTGAAAAATTTTCAGCATGCTCTTTTGACTTGGTTGCTTTTGGAAACGTTTGTGGCTCAAAAAAATAGATTTCTTTTTGGTAGTGCCTNATAATCATGTGTTACAATATGGTTCTAGAATTACTTTTTAATGTTATATCTCCTCTTTTTATCTTTTGATGAGACGTTGGCTCCACAAAAAAAAAAAAAAATCCTTTGATGACTTTATTCAGAAAGTATTGCATAGTTGCATTTGACTTTATTATTTTGCGATCAAGGATTACAAATAGTACCGAAACTGAAAAATCAGTATCTGGGCCATAGCTTTATCCTAATGATATCCACGACTTCTGGACTTCAGGCAATAAATCATGGAGTTGAGAGTTCATTTCTCGACCAAGTGCATGATCTTACCAGAGAATTCTTTCAACTTCCAATGGAAGAGAAGAAGAAATACTCCAGAGATGCAAATGGCATAGATGGATATGGGAATGATGTAGTTTACTCAGAGAAGCAAACTCTTGATTGGAATGACCGTCTGTATCTCAATACTCTCCCCATAGAAATCAGAAAACTCGAAAAGTGGCCCAAAAATCCTGAAAAGTTTAGGTAAATTCATGTTTNAACCAATGGAAGAGAAGAAAAAATACTCCAGAGATGCAAATGGCATAGATGGATATGGGAATGATGTAGTTTACTCAGAGAAGCAAACTCTTGATTGGAATGACCGTCTGTATCTCAATACTCTCCCCATAGAAATCAGAAAACTCGAAAAGTGGCCCAAAAATCCTGAAAAGTTTAGGTAAATTCATGTTTTTTTTTTTTGTTCCAAGTTTCAGAATTTGCAAATTTACAAGATGAGTTAGTAACTTGGGTAATTTTTGTTGTGGGAAATTCTTGTATTTCATTCTGATTTGTACATGCTCTGATATGAAACCCGTTGAATTAATTAAAAATTTTTCATTAGTTTTAGCCCACAGAATGTGACAATTTTCTTTGAATCCATTTCTAGAATTCGAACCGATTTGAAAGGATGATGGTAATTTTGAAATTTGATNGTTCCAAGTTTCAGAATTTGCAAATTTACAAGATGGGTTTAACTTGGGTAATTTTTGTTGTGGGAAATTCTTGTTTTTCATTCTGATTTGTACATGCTCTGATATGAAACCCGTTGAATTAATTAAAATTTTTTCATTAGTTTTAGCCCACAGAATGTGACAATTTTCTTTGGATCCATTTCTAGAATTCGAACCGATTTGAAAGGATGATGGTAATTTTGAAATTTGATCTCTTCTCGATTTAAAATTTTAGTTCTATTAAGAAACAAGACACTCTATAATATTATAAGTCAATTTACTTATCCTCTTTCATTTCAATGAACCCTATGATATTCATTTTGATAATAAAACTTTACCACTTAACTTTAACTGTGAACATAAACTTCCGTATTGAATCACCAAAATTTATATATTCTAAAATTTTTCATTTGTTTGCGTGTCTCGTGCACATTTATTTTAAACTTTTTTCTTCATCTTGCAGTGAAATGCTATGTGAGTATACTACAAAATTACAAGGTATAAATGAGNTGAGATCTATAATATTATAAGTCAATTTACTTATCCTCTTTCATTTCAATGAACCCTATGATATTCATTTTGATAATAAAACTTTACCACTTAACTTTAACTGTGAACATAAACTTCCGTATTGAATCACCAAAATTTATATATTCTAAAATTTTTCATTTGTTTGCGTGTCTCGTGCACATTTATTTTAAACTTTTTTCTTCATCTTGCAGTGAAATGCTATGTGAGTATACTACAAAATTACAAGGTATAAATGAGATCATCCTCAAGGGCATAGCAAAGTCATTGAACTTGGAAGAGAACTGTTTTGTGAAACAGTTTGGGAAAAAGCCAACAACTTTGGCAAGATTTAACTTGTACCCTCCATGCCCAACCCCTCATCTTGTTCTTGCTGCAAAAGCACATGGAGATGCATCAGGAACTACCTTTCTTCTGCAAGATAGAGAAGTGGAAGGCCTTCAATTCCTGAAAGATGATCAATGGTACAGAGCTCCCATAATTCCTGATGCTATTGTCTTCAATGTTGGTGATCAACTTGAGGTAAGAAGATAACTGGTCAAAGATTTTAAATATCTGGGTTGTTCTAGGATACAAGATTTTAAATCGATTTATATTCGAATAATATCTAAGTTATGATCTGGGGATCTCGACACCTAACCAAAACCAATGAATTCAAGTTCAACATGCATTGGATCCATATTCTACCCAAATTGATCCCGAATTCTAGCACGAGTTCAATAGCTCGATATTCTAGCCTGAACTATGTAACCCAACAATCAAGTTCCAATAGAAGTTGATTTCAACCCCAATTGCATAACCAAGTTCAAATGTTCTCTAATATGATAGTAGGCTGAAGGGCTCAGGTTCATTTCGTGTTCAGGTTGAACTCGGTTTGAGGGTCTAGATTAATCCCTTAACCCACCAACTCGCTCGAGTTCACCCCTAATCCGACTTCACCTAGAATTATTTTCTTGAAAAATTTTCAGCATGCTCTTTTGACTTGGTTGCTTTTGGAAACGTTTGTGGCTCAAAAAAATAGATTTCTTTTTGGTAGTGCCTTGTTTAAAGTAAGGTTGCCCTCTTACCTTTTTCCTTCTTTTCTGGTAGCTGTTTGCTTAAAGTTAGCTCAATGAAATCTGCAGATAATGACCAATGGCATATACAAGAGCCCAATCCACAGGGTTGTGACAAACAAAGAGAGAGAAAGGATCACTGCTGCTTTTTTCTTTGCTCCTGATCCAACAAGTGTGGTTGAACCGGCAGAAGGGCTGATTGATGAGAACAGGCCAAGGCGTTACAAGAAAATTGTTGATTACACTGCTAATTATTTTGAGTTCTTCCAGAAGGGCATGAGGCCAATTGATGATTTGAAAATTTGATGTTTTTTTAATGGTTTCATGTCAAGTGGGTATGTGGGAAGGTAATATAAGAGATGTTATGGACCACACCCACTGCCTAGATCTTCTTGCCAATCTCTAGAATAAAAAAACTATTGTGTGGGTGTGGGGGTGGGGGTATTATTGTGTTCTATGATCTCAAAGTTTTCTTTGTTGCGTGTCTGTGTGCGTTTATTATCATAATCATGACAAGATAGGGTTCTTGGGCCCATTGAAATGGCTGAACAGAAATTTGTATCAACTTCATATTTTGATGATTTAATGAAGCTCTGATTTGAATTCCAATAAATTATCGACTTATTTAGTCAATAAGAACTCTGAAACTTTTTTTAAGGTCTGTATAATGTCATCTTATTTTACAATCGGTTTTCAATACCGACTTTGGTAGCTAGTTCAAGGAAGACTAGTATTACGGTTGGTCCAAATCCATGAATTCGGTAGGTGTTCTCCCTTGGACAAGTGATTGTGTGAGTGGAGTTCATTGTCTTGTTTCGATGCTTCATTTTATAAAAACTGATTGACAAATTTAAACAAAAGAGAAAGTAATTGTGAAGATTAACAAAAAGGAAATAACTTTCATTAATCAGTAAAAGCCACATTAATTAGTCTTTTTTTTCATTAATTAGTCATGGTTAATAAAAGAAATTATAAATAAATTTTATGATATGAAAATATAGAATCAATAATGTTGCAATATCTATAAAAATATAATGGCTCATATCATTATGCATAGAAATTGCTGGTTGGGGTATGGAATAACAGTCCCTTTGTAAACACCCAATAAAGTCGACGTAGTACTAAAAAAATTAGCATGATCTTTATAAAAGGCATATATTTAAAATTATCTTTGTCGTTGGATCTTAAAATCATGATTTTTTTTTTCACTGTAATAATGCATGACCAAAAAATTAACACAAATCGAACCAACACGTTGGCCAAGCGACCTGATTCATAGTGGTTAAGTCAAGTTCACCTTATCTGACCCCGACCTGTTACCAGGGTTTCGTAAAATAGCATAAAATTAGGGGTGTCAACCCTGACATGCTGATACAAACCCGACACCAACTTGAAACGAATAATTATAAATTTATCGTAATTTTTAAATACACATAATAAATAATTTAATTTAATATTTAATATTCAAAATACATTAAATTTATTTTTTTTCGTAGGTCTAGACACAAACATGATACGAATAACACCACATACAAATCACACTACACAACACGATTGANCCCCTCATCTTGTTCTTGCTGCAAAAGCACATGGAGATGCATCAGGAACTACCTTTCTTCTGCAAGATAGAGAAGTGGAAGGCCTTCAATTCCTGAAAGATGATCAATGGTACAGAGCTCCCATAATTCCTGATGCTATTGTCTTCAATGTTGGTGATCAACTTGAGGTAAGAAGATAACTGGTCAAAGATTTTAAATATCTGGGTTGTTCTAGGATACAAGATTTTAAATCGATTTATATTCGAATAATATCTAAGTTATGATCTGGGGATCTCGACACCTAACCAAAACCAATGAATTCAAGTTCAACATGCATTGGATCCATATTCTACCCAAATTGATCCCGAATTCTAGCACGAGTTCAATAGCTCGATATTCTAGCCTGAACTATGTAACCCAACAATCAAGTTCCAATAGAAGTTGATTTCAACCCCAATTGCATAACCAAGTTCAAATGTTCTCTAATATGATAGTAGGCTGAAGGGCTCAGGTTCATTTCGTGTTCAGGTTGAACTCGGTTTGAGGGTCTAGATTAATCCCTTAACCCACCAACTCGCTCGAGTTCACCCCTAATCCGACTTCACCTAGAATTATTTTCTTGAAAAATTTTCAGCATGCTCTTTTGACTTGGTTGCTTTTGGAAACGTTTGTGGCTCAAAAAAATAGATTTCTTTTTGGTAGTGCCTTGTTTAAAGTAAGGTTGCCCTCTTACCTTTTTCCTTCTTTTCTGGTAGCTGTTTGCTTAAAGTTAGCTCAATGAAATCTGCAGATAATGACCAATGGCATATACAAGAGCCCAATCCACAGGGTTGTGACAAACAAAGAGAGAGAAAGGATCACTGCTGCTTTTTTCTTTGCTCCTGATCCAACAAGTGTGGTTGAACCGGCAGAAGGGCTGATTGATGAGAACAGGCCAAGGCGTTACAAGAAAATTGTTGATTACACTGCTAATTATTTTGAGTTCTTCCAGAAGGGCATGAGGCCAATTGATGATTTGAAAATTTGATGTTTTTTTAATGGTTTCATGTCAAGTGGGTATGTGGGAAGGTAATATAAGAGATGTTATGGACCACACCCACTGCCTAGATCTTCTTGCCAATCTCTAGAATAAAAAAACTATTGTGTGGGTGTGGGGGTGGGGGTATTATTGTGTTCTATGATCTCAAAGTTTTCTTTGTTGCGTGTCTGTGTGCGTTTATTACCATAATCATGACAAGATAGGGTTCTTGGGCCCATTGAAATGGCTGAACAGAAATTTGTATCAACTTCATATTTTGATGATTTAATGAAGCTCTGATTTGAATTCCAATAAATTATCGACTTATTTAGTCAATAAGAACTCTGAAACTTTTTTTAAGGTCTGTATAATGTCATCTTATTTTACAATCGGTTTTCAATACCGACTTTGGTAGCTAGTTCAAGGAAGACTAGTATTACGGTTGGTCCAAATCCATGAATTCGGTAGGTGTTCTCCCTTGGACAAGTGATTGTGTGAGTGGAGTTCATTGTCTTGTTTCGATGCTTCATTTTATAAAAACTGATTGACAAATTTAAACAAAAGAGAAAGTAATTGTGAAGATTAACAAAAAGGAAATAACTTTCATTAATCAGTAAAAGCCACATTAATTAGTCTTTTTTTTCATTAATTAGTCATGGTTAATAAAAGAAATTATAAATAAATTTTATGATATGAAAATATAGAATCAATAATGTTGCAATATCTATAAAAATATAATGGCTCATATCATTATGCATAGAAATTGCTGGTTGGGGTATGGAATAACAGTCCCTTTGTAAACACCCAATAAAGTCGACGTAGTACTAAAAAAATTAGCATGATCTTTATAAAAGGCATATATTTAAAATTATCTTTGTCGTTGGATCTTAAAATCGTAATTTTTTTTTTCACTATAATAATGCATGACCAAAAAACTAACACAAATCGAACCAACGCGTTGGCCAAGCGACTTGATTCATAGTGGTTAAGTCAAGTTCGCCTTATCTGACCCGACCTGTTACCAAGGTTTCGTAAAATGGCATAAAATTAGGGGTGTCAACCCTGACATGCTGATACAAACCCGACACCAACTTGATACGAATAATTATAAAATTATCGTAATTATTAAATACGCATAATAAATAATTTAATTTAATATTTAATATTCAAAATACATTAAATATATTTTTTTTTCGTAGGTCTGGACACAAACATGATACGAATAACACCACATACAAATCACACTACACAACACGATTGATTCCCTCACATAAAATCATCCTAAAATGAACTCGGACTCAAAACTTGGGAAGTAAGACCTCTAAAAATATGACATAAAACCTATTAGGAGTTGACTAAAGTGCTGAATTTATTTTTTTAGTACCATACTTCAATTTATCACATTTGTTGGTGTATTTATTATTGTTGTGGTACCTAAAAAATGATAAAAATAAGGGAGAATTACACTCGTATCTCTTAAAGTTTGTAACTTAATTATTCAAACCACTGATATTTGAAGTATTACGTTCAGACCCTTAAAATTTGTAACGCACATAACACTTAGACTCCTGCTGTAAATATATCTATTAATAAATTACATTCAGACTTCCTAAAGTTTGTAAACATATATTATTTAGACCCCTTAAGTTTAAAATATTTTATTTAGAAAAAAAAATACTTCAATCAAAGATTGAATATATTATTCAGACTCCCTAAAGTTTGTAAACATATATTATTTAGACCCTTTAAGTTTAAAATATTATATTTAAAAAAAAATACTTCAATCAAAGATTGAATATTAAATATTAAATATTTTAAATTTTACAATTAAAATTCATGTTCTATTGTACCATTTATTGAAATAAAATAAAAAATAAAAATTCAATTTTTTCTTAAAAAATCCTACTTATTGTACAATTATATTGTCTATTAGAATTTAATTTGGTCGTTTAAATGACCAAATTAAAATATCAAACTATCCGAATTGAAGCTAAAAGATATTGTGTTCATTACAATTTGAATCCTTATTTAATTTTTTAATTTTATTATAATAGATATTATAATTGTATATTAACTATTCTTTTTTAAAAAAAAATAGATTTTTGTTTTTGATTTTATTTAAATAAGTGACATAATAAAACATGAATTTTGGTTGTAAAATTCATGTTCTATTAAAAATGACTTAGACCTTTTGTTTAATTTTTTAGTTTTATTCCAATAGATACTATAATTGTATACTAATTACAATTTTTTAAGAAAAAATTAAATTTTTATTTTTAATTTTATCTCAATAAATGATACAATAGAACATGAATTTTGGTTGTAAAATTTAAAATATTTGATATTCTATCGTTGATTGGAGTATTTTTTGTCTAAATATAATATTTTAAATTTAAAAAGTCTAAATATTATACGCGTATAAACTTTAAGGGGTCTAGTATAATTTATTAACGAATATATTTACAGTAGAGGTGCAAGTGTTACGCGGGTACAAACCTTAAGGGGTCTGTGTGGAATATTTCAAATATCAGGAGGTCTGAGTGATTAAGTGACAAATTTAATAAGATATAAGTGTGGTAAAAATATCCATAAATGCGATAAAAATATAATAAATCATCAAGTGATAATTTTTTTTTATTAAAAAAATAATAAAAATACTCATAAATTACCCATAGAAATGATAAATTTTTTATTATAAAATGGCGTACTTGAAAGTATGGTTTGCGGGTCCCATTGATAAAAAAAAGTATGGTCGAACAAGTCCGGCCAAAAAAAAAGAAAAAAAGTCCAACCTGATATTATTAGTCTGATCTTTCATTATGGCCCACATATACTTAATAAAATCTCCGGTCAAGGAAGTTGGGTCTACAGGGGCANCTCTATCGTTGATTGAAGTATTTTTTGTCTAAATATAATATTTTAAATTTAAGAAGTCTAAATATTATACGCGTATAAACTTTAAGGGGTCTAGTATAATTTATTAACGAATATATTTATAGTAGAGGTGTAAGTGTTACGCGGGTATAAACCTTAAGGGGTCTGTGTGTAATATTTCAAATATCAGGAGGTCTGAGTGATTAAGTGACAAATTTAATAAGATATAAGTGTGGTAAAAATATCCANAACTCCCTAAAGTTTGTAAACATATATTATTTAGACCCCTTAAGTTTAAAATATTTTATTTAGAAAAAAAAAATACTTCAATCCAAGATTGAATATATTATTCAGACTCCCTAAAGTTTGTAAACATATATTATTTAGACCCTTTAAGTTTAAAATATTATATTTAGAAAAAAAATACTTTAATCAAAGATTGAATATTAAATATTAAATATTTTAAATTTTACAATTAAAATTCATGTTCTATTGTACCATTTATTGAAATAAAATAAAAAATAAAAATTCAATTTTTTCTTAAAAAATCCTACTTATTGTACAATTATATTGTCTATTAGAATTTAATTTGGTCGTTTAAATGACCAAATTAAAATATCAAACTATCCGAATTGAAGCTAAAAGATATTGTGTTCATTACAATTTGAATCCTTATTTAATTTTTTAATTTTATTATAATAGATATTATAATTGTATATTAACTATTCTTTTTTAAAAAAAAATAGATTTTTGTTTTTGATTTTATTTAAATAAGTGACATAATAAAACATGAATTTTGGTTGTAAAATTCATGTTCTATTAAAAATGACTTAGACCTTTTGTTTAATTTTTTAGTTTTATTCCAATAGATACTATAATTGTATACTAATTACAATTTTTTAAGAAAAAATTAAATTTTTATTTTTAATTTTATCTCAATAAATGATACAATAGAACATGAATTTTGGTTGTAAAATTTAAAATATTTGATACTCTATCGTTGATTGAAGTATTTTTTGTCTAAATATAATATTTTAAATTTAAGAAGTCTAAATATTATACGCGTATAAACTTTAAGGGGTCTAGTATAATTTATTAACGAATATATTTATAGTAGAGGTGTAAGTGTTACGCGGGTATAAACCTTAAGGGGTCTGTGTGTAATATTTCAAATATCAGGAGGTCTGAGTGATTAAGTGACAAATTTAATAAGATATAAGTGTGGTAAAAATATCCATAAATGCGATAAAAATATAATAAATCATCAAGTGATAATTTTTTTTTATTAAAAAAATAATAAAAATACTCATAAAAATAATGAATTACCCATAGAAATGATAAATTTTTTATTATAAAATGGCGTACTTGAAAGTATGGTTTGTGGGTCCCATTGATAAAAAAAAGTATGGTCCAACAAGTCGAGCCAAAAAAAAGAAAAAAAGTCCAACCTGATATTATTAGTCTGATCTTTCATGATGGCCCACATATACTTAATAAAATCTCCGGTCAAGGAAGTTGGGTCTACAGGGGCACCTAGCTACCACCTAAATAATTGAAATTACATCCACCCCCACATTCATTACGTTTTCCCTATAACAGCCTCAATACAAACTATAAGGCCACAGCCACTGCTCTCTCAACTCCCAAACACAATCTGATCATTAGTATCAAACCTGCAGAGCTAAAAAACATGGCTGCAGAGGTAGAATCACTGGCCAGTTCAGTCCAAGAACTGTCTATGAACCGAAGTGGACCTCCATCAAGATACATCTTGAAAGATGGTATTGGATTGAATGTTGCATCTTCCTTTCCAGTGCTGGATATTCCAGTCATTGATCTTGGTCTGCTTGCATCCTCTTCACCAGAGGGTGAAGAACAACTCGATCGGCTCCGGTCTGCTCTCGGCTATTGCGGTTACTTTCAGGTTTGATCTCAAAGCTCTTCTCTGATCTCATTGATCATGTTCTAAAGAGTCAGTTATGTTCTTCATATCTTATCCTTGGTCACTTCCTATGTTGGAAAATGAAGGTCTCACTTCCAAAGTTTCAAAATGAAGGAATAAATCAATGAAATAAAGAATGAAGAGGAATCCGCACAAATGGCGAGTTCTAAATATACACGTCTTAAATTTGAGTATCTCTTATTGCCTTAAACCGGTTTTAGATACATGTGAATTGAAGGTTATCTTGTTATTTCGAAATTTGTGTTGCAATCATAAGTGTAATGCTTATTGAATGTCTAAGGTAAACAATGCTAGTTGCATTAACTTAAAGAACTCACTTCTCAACTTACAGATCATCATATTCTTGGAAACCTTTTGCTTCTTCAAGATTCATAAATGAATGTCAAACTCTAAGGTCAAGTGAGAAAAGTGTGTGTTTGTGTGTGTGAACTTATTTCTTGTTTTTTGGGACCTTATTATTATTGTTGCATTCCAAAGCCATCCTCATGTTGATCATTNGAGGTAGAATCACTGGCCAGTTCAGTCCAAGAACTGTCTATGAACCGAAGTGGACCTCCATCAAGATACATCTTGAAAGATGGTATTGGATTGAATGTTGCATCTTCCTTTCCAGTGCTGGATATTCCAGTCATTGATCTTGGTCTGCTTGCATCCTCTTCACCAGAGGGTGAAGAACAACTCGATCGGCTCCGGTCTGCTCTCGGCTATTGCGGTTACTTTCAGGTTTGATCTCAAAGCTCTTCTCTGATCTCATTGATCATGTTCTAAAGAGTCAGTTATGTTCTTCATATCTTATCCTTGGTCACTTCCTATGTTGGAAAATGAAGGTCTCACTTCCAAAGTTTCAAAATGAAGGAATAAATCAATGAAATAAAGAATGAAGAGGAATCCGCACAAATGGCGAGTTCTAAATATACACGTCTTAAATTTGAGTATCTCTTATTGCCTTAAACCGGTTTTAGATACATGTGAATTGAAGGTTATCTTGTTATTTCGAAATTTGTGTTGCAATCATAAGTGTAATGCTTATTGAATGTCTAAGGTAAACAATGCTAGTTGCATTAACTTAAAGAACTCACTTCTCAACTTACAGATCATCATATTCTTGGAAACCTTTTGCTTCTTCAAGATTCATAAATGAATGTCAAACTCTAAGGTCAAGTGAGAAAAGTGTGTGTTTGTGTGTGTGAACCNCAGCCACTGCTCTCTCAACTCCCAAACACAATCTGATCATTAGTATCAAACCTGCAGAGCTAAAAAACATGGCTGCAAAGGTAGAATCACTGGCCAGTTCAGTCCAAGAACTGTCTATGAACCGCAGTGGACCTCCATCAAGATACATCTTGAAAGATGGTATTGGATTGAATGTTGCATCTTCCTTTCCAGTGCTGGATATTTCAGTCATTGATCTTGGTCTGCTTGCATCCTCTTCACCAGAGGGTGAAGAACAACTCGATCGGCTCCGGTCTGCTCTCGGCTATTGCGGTTACTTTCAGGTTTGATCTCAAAGCTCTTCTCTGATCTCATTGATCATGTTCTAAAGAGTCAGTTATGTTCTTCATATCTTATCCTTGGTCACTTCCTATGTTGGAAAATGAAGGTCTCACTTCCAAAGTTTCAAAATGAAGGAATAAATCAATGAAATAAAGAATGAAGAGGAATCCGCACAAATGGCGAGTTCTAAATATACACGTCTTAAATTTGAGTATCTCTTATTGCCTTAAACCGGTTTTAGATACATGTGAATTGAAGGTTATCTTGTTATTTCGAAATTTGTGTTGCAATCATAAGTGTAATGCTTATTGAATGTCTAAGGTAAACAATGCTAGTTGCATTAACTTAAAGAACTCACTTCTCAACTTACAGATCATCATATTCTTGGAAACCTTTTGCTTCTTCAAGATTCATAAATGAATGTCAAACTCTAAGGTCAAGTGAGAAAAGTGTGTGTTTGTGTGTGTGAACCTATTTCTTTTTTTTTTTGGGACCTTATTATTATTGTTGCATTCCAAAGCCATCCTCATGTTGATCATTATTACATGTTACCAACATGATAGGCTTTTCATTTTAGTCTAGCACCATAATCATATGTGCGGATGGATGGATTTCTAAATCATATTTGCTCTAGTAAATAATTGAAGAAGGCTTTCAGATGAGAGGTAATGGAAGAGAAACATTATAGAAATATTTCTAGGAGGTTCACAAATTATTTGACTGTCGGTGAGTCTATTTGTGTTGTCCGGAAAGAGGAGGACATAATATAGTTCTCATGATTTTTCTTTAACGTTATATCTTCTCTTTTTATCCTTTGATGATAAGGAAAGTATTACATAATTTCATTTTACTTATTATTTTGGGATTGACGATTACAAATAATTCTACCAAAACTGTTTTTTTTTTTTTTGAATTATATAGTACCTGGTTAAAAAAAACTATGTAGTACCGAAACTGAAAAATCAGTTTTTAACCATAATCTTATCCTAATGATATCTATGGTTTCTGGACTTCAGACAATAAATCATGGAATTGAGAGTTCATTTCTAGACCAAGTGCATGATCTTACCAGAGAATTCTTTCATCTTCCAATGGAAGAGAAGAAGAAATACTCCAGAGAAGCAAATGACATAGATGGATATGGAAATGATGTAATATATTCAGAGAAACAGACTCTTGATTGGAATGACCGTTTGTATCTCAATACTCTCCCCGAAAATATCAGAAAACTCAAAAAGTGGCCCAAAAATCCCGAAAAGTTCAGGTAAACTCATCATGTTTTTCCTTGTTCTAAGTTTTAAAATTTAAAAAGTTACAAAATGGGTTGGAATCAGATTGATTAGTAGGTATTTTTTGTGATAAAAAGTCCTACATTTAATTTTCGACTTGTGCCTGCTCTAATATTATACCGGTTTGATTAAATAACATATTACGAGTTTTGGACCATAGAGTGGGGCATATTTTTTCGACCCATTTCTGGGATTCGATCAAAATAAGAGGTTGATAGTGATTTTGAAATCCGATTTCTTCTTGATTTGAAATTATAATTCTACTATGTTCATTTGCTTATTCTCTTTTATTTCAATTATCCCTTTATAATCTTCATTTGAGTAGTGAAACCTTAGTGTTTTTTTGATTTCCAATTTGAACCATGTATATTTATATAATCCATATTTTTCTTTCTTTTTTTGCGGTTCTCTTGCATAAGATCTTTTAAGTTTTTTTTTCTTCATCTCGCAGTGAAATGCTATGTGAGTATACTACAAAATTACAAGGTATAAATGAGATCATCCTCAAGGCCATAGCAAAGTCATTGAACTTGGAAGAGAACTGTTTTGTGAAACAATTTGGGAAAAAGCCAACAGCTTTGGCAAGATTTAACTTGTACCCTCCATGCCCAACCCCTCATCTTGTTCTTGCTGCAAAAGCACATGGAGATGCCTCAGGGACTACTTATCTTCTGCAAGACAGAGAAGTGGAAGGCCTTCAATTCCTGAAAGATGATAAATGGTATAGAGCTCCCATTATTCCTGATGCCATTGTCTTCAATGTTGGTGATCAACTTGAGGTAAGGAGATTGTTGATTATATCACATCCTTGGTCAAATATTAGAGCAATGCTACATGGACTTAAAAAGTAGACTTAAAAATTAGATTTAATAATTACAACCATTGATTTCACTGTGAGTCTCAATAGTTATTAAGATTCACTACCTATTCAATGATTGGAATTATCAAATCTAATTTTTAAATTTAATTTTTAAGTTCATCTAGCTTTAGTCATATTTTTAATATACAGGTTGGATTTGGATACAAGATCTGAACTTTCAAATAATATTCAGGTTGGGGTCCGGGGAACTCGAGACACAACCCAACTAATGAATCCAGATTTGACCCAAGTCAGATCCAAATTCTACCTAAATTGAACCAAATTCTAGCATGTACTTAATAACTCGATGATCATATTTGGGAGTTCAACTGAATTAGATCCATATTTTTAGGCCAAATTATGTAACCCAAGAATTAAGCTTTAGTTGACCCGATCTCAACCCAAATTGTGTAACCCAAGTCCTCAAATCTGAATATAGGTATTATTTAAGTTAAAGTGTATGTGTTCAACTCGATTTGTGGGTTTTAATAACTTGAATTGAGTCGGATTAACCTCTTAACCAACCCCAACTCACCAGAGTTGTACCTATATATGACATTTTCTTTTGACTTAGTTGCTTTTGGGAATATTTATATTTCAAAGAAGATTTCCTTTAACTTGGTAGTGGCTTGTTTAAAGCCCAATTTTAAGGGTCCACTCTTTCCTTTTTCTTCTTTTTTTGGTGTCTGCTTTGCTTAAAATTAGGTCAATAAAATCTGCAGATAATGACCAATGGCATATACAAGAGCCCAATGCACAGGGTTGTGACAAACAAAGAGAGAGAAAGGATCACTGCTGCTTTTTTCTTTGCTCCTGATCCAACAAGTGTGGTTGAACCAGCAGAGGGTTTGATTGATGAGAAAAGGCCAAGGCTCTACAAGAAAGTTGTGGATTACACTGCTAATTGTTTTGAGTTATTCCAGAAGGGGAAGAGGCCAATTGATGCTTTGAGAATTTGATGTTTTTTTCAATGGTTTCACTTTCATATTAAGTGGTTAGTTGGCAAGATAAGGCAGAGATGGTTTGTGGATTACACTGCTAATTGTTTTGAGTTCTTCCAGCAGGGGAAGAGGCCTATTGATGCTTTGAGAATTTAATGTTTTTTTCAATGGTTTCACTTTCATATCAAGTGGTTAGTTGGCAAGATAAGGCAGAGATGTTTGGACCACACCTTTTGTCTAGATATTCTGCCCAATCTATAGAATAAAAAAACTCCTTTGGGGTTGTATTATTGTGTTGTATGATGTCAAAGCAATCTTTGAAATGTGCGTGTGCTTTTGTATTATAATAGTTTTGACAAGATAGGGTTCTTGGACCCACTGAAATGGCTTAAAAGCAATCTGTATTGACTTTACATCTTCTTGATGAATTTAATGAAGTTTTTATTTGTATTTTGAAAAAATAAAGATAGAAAAAAATAATTTTCTTTTGAGGTTAGGACCAGTAAACAGAAAGGCCCAGCTGGGCATGTAATGGTGCAATCCGTATTCATGTCTTGTCGTGCTCTGCGCCTAAGTCATCTCATAACCGTGCCTAAATCGCGTTGTTTGGAATTTAATTTCATGTTATTTTTTTCTTTACTAAAATTTAAAGTAAGTACCATTTCTTACCTTATCCAAGGTGAATATGGTATTTCAATACAAAACCAATTAACTTTGGGTCAATAGCACATATAACAACAGTCTATGATTTATGCATCATTGGCATATTTGTAGAGAATTTATATAAACATTGAACTACAAATTTACCCCTAGGATTAGTCCTTTTATAGCTGCTGGAAGGGGTAAATTTGTCCTTTTGAACCAAATTTTAAAAAAAAAAACAAAACAAAAGGCCCACGCACGGCATGCCTGTGTTCGTGCCTCTACTTCGGCCATGCCGGCACTAATGGGCTCTAATTCAGGTTGAATCCCCATTATAAAGCTATCATCATGAGCTTGAATTCAGGCTTAATTCTCAGATTAAATGAAATTTCACTCAACTGCAGATTGAACCTAATCTCTCTAATTCATGACCAAAAAAACAAAACCTCTCTAATTCTTATTGAATTCACAGTGGGTCCAAAAAAAATCCAAGACTCCATCCCCAAGTTGGGTTTAAATGTAAATATCTTGCATTAAATTCCGATTTGGTCAAGTCAAATAATAAAATATCTCGCATTAAATTAGGATTTACCCTTAAATAGACTGCCAAATGTTATTCAGTTGCTANAAACCTCTCTAATTCTTATTCGATTCACTGTGGGTCCAAAAAAAATCCAAGACTCCATCCCCAAGTTGGGTTTAAATGTAAATATCTTGCATTAAATTCCGATTTGGTCAAGTCAAATAATAAAATATCTCGCATTAAATTAGGATTTACCCTTAAATAGACTGCCAAATGTTATTCAGTTGCTAAGGCTACAACCGCTCTTAAGAAAATGCCTCCACACAAATGCAACTTCGTTCCGGTGGTACCTTATAGGTGAGAAGTTATCAAGAAAACAGGGGTGGCTTCATATGTTTTGAGGCCTAAAATGATAAATTCAATTGAAATTTTTGTTAATAATATTGAAATTTTTGTTAATAATAGTGTAATTTCTTTTAATATTTAATTTTTTTTTTCTGAATGTATATTAATTATTTAGTATTCGTATTGAAGTTTTTCTAACATATCTTTTTTTATTGATAGTATAACTAATTGACTTAATTTTTAAATTAAATAAAAAATTCCAAAAGTTTNTATGTTTTGAGGCCTAAAATGATAAATTCAATTGAAATTTTTGTTAATAATAGTGTAATTTTTTTTAATATTTAATTTTTTTTTCTGAATGTATATTAATTGTTTAGTATTCGTATTGAAGTTTTTCTAACATATCTTTTTTTATTGATAGTATAACTAATTGACTTAATTTTTAAATTAAATAAAAAATTCCAAAAGTTTTAAATTCAAAGATTATTTGACAGGTTATGTCGTCTCGTCATCGACACTCTTATAAAATTATTTTTCTATGAATTAGACATTACTCACGAAATATATGTTTGATTAAGTTTTTTAAGATTATAATGAAAAGGACAATATTACATGAACCTTATTTAGTAATCTTATTTGACGATCTTATCATTTTATGTTATTAGATTGACAGTGGATCTTACTATTAGTTGCGACCCACTATCAATTTCATAGTTATGATCCATCACATCACAAGATAAAATAGCTAAATTAGGTACAAAATATAGTTTCTTTTTTTTTTTTTAAATGTTATTGTGTGAGATTAATGAATTGCAAATTTAGGCCCAAAATCAGTCTTGAATTTTTTTTGTTAATTTGGGCCTTCATATGGGGCTTTCTTATAAGGCTAATTTTAATAGGTTAAAATTGACTTGAACTATATTTATAGTCTTTCAAAATTTTGAGGCTCTCTTTATTGATGGGACTTAAATCCACCGCTTCTTTTTCTCCACTGTGGGGCCGGTCTCGCAGGAAAACTACCGAATAACAGATACAACCGGAGAAACGCTCCTAGTTGTAACATTACTTCAGAATCATGGAGGATTTGGTGGGGTGTTAAATCTCAATTAGAAGTCGAAGTTGGACAATGCAGGGTTGGGCAATGTGTTGGCGNTTTTCTTTTTTTTTTTTAAATATTATTGTGTGAGATTAATGAATTGAAAATTTAGGCCCAAAATGGGTCTTGAATTTCTTTTGTTAATTTGGGCCTTCATATGGGGCTTTCTTATAAGGCTAATTTTAATAGATTAAAATTGACTTGAACTATATTTATAGACTTTTAAAATTTTGAGGCTCTCTTAATTGATGGGACTTAAATCCACCGCTTCTTTTTCTCCACTGTTGGGCCGGTCTCGCAGGAAAAGTACCGAATAACAGATACAACCGGAGAAACGCTCCTAGTTGTAACATTACTTCAGAATCATGGAGGATTTGGTGGGGTTTTAAATCTCAATTAGAAGTCGAAGTTGGACAATGCAGGGTTGGGCAATGTGTTGGCGTGATGCTTGGGTGGAATGCAAGCGTCCCCTTTGGAATGAAATAAGGCAGAAAATTTGAGAATCTTTCAAATTCATATCATGCCTATCATATTATAACTAAGAATAACTTGTATTTGAAGGTACGGTCCAATGTGAATGATTTTGAGAGAGATGTTGGTAGTCTTTGAATAAGTACATTTGAGACCATCGAATAAACTTATTAAAGNGAATAACTTGTATTTGAAGGTACGGTCCAATGTGAATGATTTTGAGAAAGATGTTGGTAGTCTTTGAATAAGTACATTTGAGACCATCGAATAAACTTATTAAAGTCTGTTATGTTTTATTTTATAGATGTGCATTTTGTCTTATACGATGATTGTGGTAAATGAAATGGCTTACTCAAGTGGGGGACAAGCATTTTTGTCCTACAAGTAATGAAGTTTTCGACAGTGTATGATTATTTTGTGTTTTTCTTATACTATGTGCATTGAAGTTTTCAACAATTGTTACGATTACAAATTCCTGCGACTAAAAGCAACTTTATTTTTTTTTTCACTTCCTTTGTTCAACATATGACTTTTTAGAGCTGTCATATGATTGTTTTGTTGTACACATAGGTGAATATTATTCGGGGATCATATTTTCAAATGAAACTTTGTTAAAATGATTGTACATACTCAAGAATATTATCAACACGAAATATCTTAATATGTTTACCAAACTGTACCAAAATTTTATTATAGAATGTAAGAAAAATTTTAGGCAATTCAGATCGATTCTTTATAAGAAAAAATCAAATCATATGAGAATAATTATCAACAAAAATTACAAAATAATGAAATCCAAAAGTACTATTTATTCTTGAAGGATCGCAAATGTCAAAATAAACAATTGCAAAAGGACTATACAGACGACTCTAACTACTAGCAAGAAAGGAAGTACAATTATGCTTGCCTAATTGACAAGCCCTGCACTCTAACATAATAGAAGGACTTAGACTAAAAATGACTTGATAAAACTTTTGCAATAATGGATGATCCAATCGAAAATGCCACTGGAGATAAAAAAAAAAACTATAGCACTCAAGGCCAAAACAGTAACTCTAGAATCCAAGTAGTAAAACCCACTCTGTTCATGCCCTAAACCAATCACCTTCTGTGTCTAGAGGTCCTGAAAAACACAAGAGGATGGAGAAAAAGTCACCAAATACTATAGACTTGGTTAATTGACTCGTAGATAACAGGTTAAATGGAGACTGAGGGACATATAAACTAGATGTTAACGACAAGAATTTAATGGGATGAAGATCACAAGTCCCACGCACTAGCCTAAAAGAATCATCAACTAACTCTATACGGAAGTTAGACAAGTAAAATTTAGAAAACAAGTAAGAAATACCATACATGTGAACACTAACTCTTGAATCAATAATCCAAGATGGTGAAATTGATTGAATTGCCACATGTGCAAAATTACTTGTAGTGATCAAACCAATAGTTGAAGTAGGCATATGTGAAGACAATTGTTGGCTGAGTTGAGAAATAAGTTCATCATGAAAGTTAGATGTAGATGTAGTATGTCCACTGGTCAAGATGGTTGAGATACACGTGGAGTAAGGTCATCAAAAACCTTAATAGCATAGATTGGTCTTCCATATTTATCATGTTAAGAATAGTAGGGTAATATGTGTAAATTGTTAATAGTAAGAGGATGTATATGTAATTCTTATTATTGTATGTTAACTATAAATACAAATGATGTATGAGAGCTAGATTAAGTTTTTAACTTGGTATCAGAGCTTAAACAATTCTAAACACAGTAACACTGTTGTGTGGTTTTTATTCATCCTGTGGTCTCTGTTAGCCCACTTGTGTCGTTCGTGGTGGTGGTGTTGTGGTGTTGTTATGGTGGTCCTTGTTAGTGTGGTGGCGTGATCGGTTGTGGTGGTGGAGTGCCTTCTGTTCACCATCGAGTAGTATTCTCCGTGG